GCCCTCCCAGCCAATCCAGCCCTCTGAGCGCATCACGTGACCAGGCTCCCCGCGCGTAGCTTGCATAGAGTTATTATAATCTACGCTAGGGGTTCAACTGGCGCTAGTGTTCTGACGCAAATTGAAGAAGGCAGCAACCAGTCGAAAATTTACTTCCGGTGATATATTTTTATGGGAAAAAGCGAGTGCATTTTCTCTCGGTGCTCGATTATAAGGTCAAAATATCTCGAATAATTAGGACCCACAAGGTAGCTTGGAACATTTCGTAGTCAGGCAGACGAAATAAGGGTCAGTTAAGGCGTTTTTCTTTCAAATTCGTCGCAATAAAAACGGTGCTAAAACGGCTTGGTACGTGTATTTTTGTGAACTGTCGGGCAGTGTTAACGCGAGCACAACGTGGGCACTTTTCAGCACGAGGGATGTACGCGCCAAACGGACGAAGAACATCTGGAAACCAAGGGAGACGGGAAAAAGTACTCAGTAAGACTGGATCAGTAACTACCCGTGCATGCACGATCAAAATCAATTGAAGGCCACCTAATATATTTCGACTTTAAATAAGTACAGCTTTATTCTTTCTGCTATGTGCGAAGATGATTGTTCTACGTTCAAAACAACCCCTTTGCAAACAAGTACCCGATAAAAGCTGCATGGCAGAGAAAACAGTACAGAGAGACACCTTTCGTAGCCCACGTACTTTATTCTGAGTTTTGAATGTTTTTATCTGCTCACAAACATGCATGACAAGGTCATGTTCATATAGTGACAGGACTGGCATTAACAACATATAAGCGTCAACGGAATGCTGGCGAAACTTGTACGCACTCTACATTCCTTTCGATCGTAATTTCGCTTTGAATCGTCGCTTGTTTTTACACATTTGCTGCGGAACGCGTTTCGGACTGAAATGCAGCGAAGTTAAACATCATTCACTTGTGAAGAAAGACACGCCTAAGAAAGTAATTTCACTCTTACAATGATACTCAAATCACATACTATTCGGTACGACCCAACTCACGAAAGTGTTTCATGTTATTTTCCGGCGAATAGACAAACTCCAAGCGCTTTTTCCCATAGAAATGCACAGAAGCACCGCAAAAGTAGACTGGCTGCTGTCTGCTTCAATTTGCGCCACGGAAGTGGCATAGACTCTAGCGCCAGTTGAAAGACTAGCGTACGTGGTCGCTGCGGTCCTCCTGAGAGTGACGTGACAGTCATATGGGGTTCATGTGACCACACTCTGGTCGTTTCTTTTTCAAATATCCTAAATGGCGATATAGAACAATATTATAATTTGAGCGTGTCTTGCGCGAAACATTGTCAAGCAATTGGGCCTATCTGTTTGTAGACATTACCCGTGCGATCATAGTGTATATATAATTCAGTTTGCAAGCTAATTTACATACGTGTGGTGACATGGGTAGCTTCATTTCAGTGCTTGGGATGATACTTCCTAACTTGAGCTGAAGATGCTTTCACAGGGCTCCAATTGCGCGTGTAATCTGCGGTAAATCGGGCGACATGCAGACATAAATATTTACACCACTTATAGCCTAAGTTTACGTTTCTCTTAATATTTGCTAAAAGGCCAATTAAATCACTCATTCCTTTAAAAAATATTTACAAATTACAAGTTTTCGCATGCGAACTAGTTTGGCACAATATTTACCGAATAAATAAACAAACAAATTTAGTACACGTGGACAAAACGTATTTAAGTACATAATCAGAGTACGCATTCAAGATGTGTCGAAATAAAGAATTCAAATAGCACAAAAGTAATTAAATGCAATAAAATGACTCCTCTATATTTGTCTTCACCCACAATTTATTAGCACGAAAAAAAGATAATGAAAATAATTTTAAAAAATACTGCGTGCGTCGAACTTTTTTTTATTCCGCATTTTGCTACTCCAGTAGTGTGAACGCCAAAATGCGAGGTGCAAAAATAATATCACCATAAACACGACAAGCGAGCCATTTGAATATTGATCACTGTAAGGCATATGTTGCATTTCCCTAGACTACCGGTTATTTCTTCAGCTTCGAAGTAGCTATATTTTATTTAGAAACATGGAGTTTTTACTTGATCTGAAAGAACAAGCTCTACGTATCGTTCTATCCTCTTTACAACAACAAGATACATTTTCCTTTTTGCTTAATACAACGTTTGGGGCGGTTTATTTGACAGTAGGAGGCAACTGTCTTATCCTAAATATTAAACATACGGGCTGACATCCCGTACCGACATGGTTCCAACGAAGAAATTAACTTTAGAAGTACGTGTATGTGATGCCCCTGAAGAACAATGAGAGGCGACTCACAAAATCCAAACTTCTGTGCAAACGTAATCCTCACAGGTTTTAAGCTTCAATCCAGCTGAGCAATGCAAATTGTGATGAAGGGGCATTTTATATGAATCAAAACCACATGCATGTTCACACCGGTGGAATCTTGCATTTCTCTGCTTTTGATATTGCATTTATATCTACTCAATAAACAATGCAGTGATGGTTGCATCATATAACGCGAGATAAATATTGCTGAAGTTTTAATTGGGCACCGAGGCTCAAAACTGGCTGTTCCGGCGGCCATTTGTTTGCAGGGCTGGAGACGGCAGGTCTGCTGCAGTTGCCATTTCCCCTCTAGCATTTGTTTATCATTTTCATCAACAATAAACGGATGGCATGTGTGGTTTTATACAAAAAAAAAAAAAAAAAAACACGGAGACGAAGGAACGAAAGGGGGACAACTACAAACTTGCATGTAGCCTCGCGTCTTTTTTCACCGGGTCGCCTAAACGATAATGTTTGTTTCAGTGCCGTTGTTCCTCTGCGGATTCGAGCCTCATTACCAGTCAAAGTTCCATCGAGAAGTGAGCCTTCTCATGTTCAAGCGGGCTGGTGGCTACGATTAATATAGTTCTTAAACAGGAGGTCTTAAAATGAC